AAGGGGGGGGGGGGGGGGGGGGGGGGGGGGGGGGGGGGATAAACTCGAAAATTTGTTCGTTCGTTCAACGCCAAAATAAAACACGTTATTACATCCCTCCGTTATATTGGACTAGCCAACGAAATTTAACGGTTTAGACCGTGCAATTGCATATCAATTGCTGGAAGTGGTTGTATATTTCTCGTCGATTACTGCTGATTTGTTCTTGAAACATCGGTCTCGTTATCGAAGAAGTCTTGTTTGAAATTAACCGTGAAATCAGAAATATCGCACTGCATGCGATATATAGCATATATGTACATGAATAGTTTTTAGCGTGCTCTGGCTGACATTTTTTACATTTATAAAAATTTTAGAATTGAACAGTTTTCGAAACATTTGTTTTCATTTTGTCAAGAAAGTTAGGTAATTCGCGAATATCGACCAAGATGCGAGATAAATTGTGCACGAGGCAAATGTCGAACGAATATTCAAAGAGAAGGGAAAATCCAAAGTCAGAAATCATGTTGTACGAATCAACTGATGTTTCTCATCAATTATATCATTTTTATTCTATCATAGTGTTCTGAATATTTTGAATATTTCAAATGATTTCGATACTTCACGTGGTACACTGATACGATATTTATTAAACGTTGTAATCGCATTTGCCTCGTAACACACAACTCGTGTAATACTTTGGACAAACGATCACGTTAATTTTGTGAAGCTATTTATACGATACAGAACATGGGAGAAAAGAATCGTTAATATCCTGTTGTAATCGTAGTGCACTAGTTTGGTTGATTTTGTGCGCTAACAAACTATCATGATTTTATCTTACCGACGGTTATTTATTTTTGTAACTTGTATTATTTCGTCAATGAAATCTTCAATTGCTTTTTTAACATAGAGCAAATGTTATGCACGCTTTCTATTAATCTCACTGACTATAGATATCTTGATTTTTCCATCGAAATTCTTGATATCCACAGAGACGACAATATGCTTGTTCGCGCGAAAATACAATATGTATCGGTGCATTTTAAAGGGTGACACAAAAAAAAAAAATTTCTAAGTATATACGTTTTTATGCCTCTCTATGTTTTACAATAAATTGGAAAGATTTATATAATAAAGTCTTTACTCTATGACCTATACATTATTTCCAAGTCCCAAGATTCGGAGATAGAGATACATAATTGTAACGATTGTGCTATTAAACATTCACGACGAATGTATTAGAAAAAGAAATGTTGCACCCAAGGAAGGATTGCACGTCTCTTTATATTTAATCAGGAAACTGATTAATTAGAAATATTAGTAGAAGTAGCGAAATTTTGTTAATATGCAAACTAAAATTTATCAGCTATGAACAGTTCGTTTCTTGACTCCTTGACTTGGTCGAATCAGTACAGGATTTTTTCGCTAGATACCATCGAATATAATTATTTGCAGCAGGAAGCGAGATAGCATCGCTTTGGGAATTGTCTTCCTGAAGAGATCCATTGTAAAAGAGGAATGTCGGTACATGTATACCATGGGAATTTACCCACGATTAAAATTTGCACCAAGTACCTGAAGAACACGATTATCTTTATTCACAGTAATAAATTGCGAGTTAATAATAATTACATCCTTACACGTATCAGTGGACGGATAATCATTGAGTAATCATCATGATTCATTACATTGAAAAACTATTGTAAGTATACGTTCAAACGTAAGTTCTTAATTTTTTATTAATATTTCGTGGATATGGAATAATATTTCCGGTCACACATAATATTAGTTATGCATAATTTTTTCTTTGTTTTGAAACAATAAAGTACGTTTGAACGTTAAGTTTACTCATTATATCTCCTACATATTAAAACAATATTTTACAAAATTATATGAAAATCTTATTTGTAAATAAATCATATACAAATTTTTTTGACTAATTACTTGTGTACACGTGCACTATGATCCCCTTTATGTTCTCAGTCGTTGCAACAATTGTGACGATGAATATGTAACGGTAACGCGAATATATATAACACAGATATATATATATAATAAAAATTTTATAACAAAAACATATGTGTAAAACGTTCCTTATTATATGAAATTTGTTGTTATTGTGCTGATCAACACTCTTGATGTAAAAAATTGCATTTTTCGCGCGTACCTATAGTTACAGAAATTATTGTTATATCGAGATAAATTACCGTATAAATTAATTTTTCCGTAGAAATCAAAAGTGATGAGCATTGTAAAATGAAAATTTTTAATTACAATCGTCGAACTGTTTGATGTTTCTTTCTCCTTTATATTTCACAACTTTATTCTGCCATTTTGCGCACGTTTAATTTTACGAATAACAACGACGAATCAACATGGTCGAATACGAGTGCATTTAATTTATCCGTATCGTACGTTGTTTATTCATATTTGTGAGCATTAACGAAATATACGAAGTTAAAAGATCGTCCATTTTATATCCGAGAGAAGTTTCACATAGTAATTTCGAACCGCGGACTAAATTTCCAATCGTCATATGAAAATAAGTATTACCGGATGACCAATTTGAGATTCTGGTAAAAGGATGTGTTATTAGTATGTCCTAGAAACATAAATATTCGTGGTAAATATTTTATTAATTACAATTTCTAAGTAAATAAAGATAAAAAATAGTTCGTTTACTTACTTTCGTTTGCGGATGTATGAGGCTTACACCGTGCTTATTTATAGCAATTAACAACAATTCTGGATAATTTGGTTCTGTACTTTGTTTAACTTCGAAAAACGCTGAACCAAAGGTTGGCCATCGATAAACAATTTTCAAAAATGTTATTTTGGCATCTTCTGGGCTCATACCTATTTGAAAGTATTTACTTTGTACTTTCGCACTGCTTAAATTTAGATAATATGCTAAAACATGATTAAAACAGTATCTTACCGGCATCTTGATTGTACGCTGCTATTATAGATCTTTTCCAGTCATTGGAGCTTTGTACCTTTACTAAATCTCCGGGTATAAGTTCCCTTAACATTTGCCTAGAGAAATCCATATTACGTTACTTTTTTAAATATATGTTTGTACGCACAGATTACTGTACATACTGTATATTCACTTACGGAATCGCTTGAAGTTCCTGTTTACTCTCGCCAAAACGGACTCTGTATACCAATGCTGCTAATCTCGATGCTTCTTCTTTAGTACATTTATGATATCCTATAGAGAGAAGAATATGATACGTATAATCGCACAAAATGATCGAACAAATAATAATATTGAATGAGTCCAATTGCAAATCATCAGAGAAACGAAACCTAGTTTTTACCTCTTAATAATTTAGGAAGCTCTTGGTGAAAGTGGAAAATAAGGTCTGCATTTCTATCTTTTCCAGGAACAGTGTTGGTCCATAGTTTCTTCATAAAAAACACTTGATACGTAAACTGGGGTGATACACCTAAGCAAAACAAACAAACCTTTTGATAATTGCATTGCACTTTTGTTTATGAAAAATCATAAAGATATACCATCTCGAGATGGACGAGCTTTCCTTATCCAATCCGTCAAATGTCGAACAAAATCAAAAAAAAAATCGCCTTCTGGAACTGAAATGACCTTGTCCGCGATCTTTACAAACAGACTGAATCCTTCTGCAGATCTTAAATTCAGTCTTTGCGCGATGTTCTGGCAAAAATCTTTCGCTCTTGTTGATGAATCCACTTCGAATGCCTGTGTATAAAACAAGTTAAGAAATAATCGTTGCGTGTCCAATACTTATTCGTAGAACGAATAAAATTAAATAATTGTTGCTTAAAGAATACGCACTTCGTCCGTATCATCGGGGAAATAAACTTTATGAAATATTTGGGTTGTTTTGTGTTGTATAGCTTCGACTTCTACTTGGTGCGGAGGATACTTTCTCTGACCGTTACGTAAAGTTTTTTGTAACCTCTGTAGAGAGTCTTGAGATATGGGATGCCGTCTTGTACGTAAAAAAAGAGTTAGTTCCTATCAATGGGCAGAAATAGGCATGAATTGAACGAATATATTTCACTGACGGTATCTGTTACGAATATCATTTGAACACGATTTTCTACCTTCAAAAGACTTTGGCTGCAAGTGAAGAGACCAGTGGCGAGCCACATTAGCTCCCAACCACGCTCTTCGCTTACACGGTTCCGATTATCGGTTAGTTGCTTCATGATTTGACAATAAATTTCGTCTCGAAGAATTTCATTCTTTAATGGCCCATCAAAAATGAGATCGGTGTACTCGTTGCCAATTCGCGGTCTTTTAGTTGGCAGATCACCCATGTATTTTAATATAGCGTTGAAAGCAAAACACGCTTCTTCTGCTAATTCTTCTTTGGATATCAATTTTTTTAAGAGAGGCTGTTTGATAGGATCTCTAGAATGATGCCACAACTCATCAGTGTGGCCGCGTCTCGCTGTCGTCAGGGTCAACGCCTTCGACATTGTCCTCTTTGGTGGTGTCCTGTAATAAGTAAAACGTCTATTTTGTTATTTCTTGATCACGCGCATAAAATGTTTGTTATGCATTTAGTAGCAGACACTTACCGAAAATGATCGATAGCGTATTCTAAGAGAGTGTGAGGTTTGTCACGAGATTCTACTCCGTTCACTTGCTGCGGATATAATTTTCGGCCATTTTCCGTTCCTTCGATACTGAATAAGGACTGAAAAAAGAATCGATTATCGGGCTAAATTCGTTTATGTAAGTAAAATGACAGGTTACAACGGAATGACAATATCGCGCAGAAAAGATATGCTAATATTACCAAGATATCGGTTGGAGGTTTTGTCAGCGAAGGCAAAACATAAACTGTTTCGGCTGGAAAATCGCCTTTTTCGCCAGTTCTTTCACACGTGCCAATGCACCATCCCGAATTAAGGACAGTTTCGCCGGTACTTTCATCCTCCAGAATAATAAGATCCCCCTTTTGAAATGTCAAGAACGACGAACCTTCGCCGGGTGCTTTGTAATCTTGCAAAGCAATAACGTATTTACTACGCTTCTTCAAACCTTCTAAAAAGTATACCACTAGATCGCGAATATCTTCGGCGTTGGGGCTTTGGAAAGTAAACTCTTCTCCTCGCACCGTTGATAAGTTAAAGGTTTGCGTGAACATTTTATTCGTTCTGAAAATCACAATGAAGTCAAAAAGATAAAACGAAAAGAGAAAATTATGAGATGTAGCAGGTGTAACGGAGATACATGTGTCTGTTAAAAGCTACACGTACTTTTGACTAGACACGGTGGTGATTTCGGGAAACGACAATTCGAGAAGTACTTGTTCTTGATCGTCTACGACATACACTCCGGTCCAATTCACGGCTATGATAACGTCGTTCTTCGGCAAATTTGGGCCGGAATTTCTATATGCTTCGTAGAAGCGAGAAAAGAGCAATGGCCATTTAAATTTGGCATAGCCGACGATATCTTCTTTAACGCGTAAAGCAGGTACCTTTTCCTTTAAATAATAACTCTGTAAAAAGAAATGTTCCGTCATTGTTGATAAAAAAAAAAAGTCTACATACGTGCAAATTAAAATATATGCAAAGACATCGAGATTTTTTCAGAGCTATCACCTTCTTATACGCTTGTAGAACAAGATGTCCCCATCTGTCGATCGCCTTGTCGATACCTGTCAGGCAGTAATCCGGAATGTAATTTGGCAAAAGAGTATACAGCCTGTCAACGTTCATGTCAGTGTGATATTCGATGTAGTATTGTTGAGCGGCGATCATCGCTAAATCTTCTTCTTTATCACAACGATACTCCCCGAATTTCACCCCTCTAACCACCTGTTGGTAAATTAAATTGGTAGCAACTTGGTCTTCGGTTGGTTCGTGCCAAGGCGCGAATATTTCTTTCCTAAAGAACAACCTCCACGGAGCGTTTCGTTCTTGAGCACCTTGTTCCTTGGCATACTGCTCACACTGAGAGATGGCGTCCATTACGTGATCTCCACCGCTACCCAGCGAAGATACTTTATCAAATAACGCGATATAAAGGGAGAAGCCGAACTGATCGCGCAATGATATCTTATCAGACAGCTGATTGCACAGCTCCCTGGCCGTGGTTGCGGAATCAGCGAGTAACGTCTTAGTGTTACCGTCCATAAATGTAATTGGTAACATGATTGGCTTCTTCGACTTTGTCGCTTGAAGTTCCAACCAACTCGGTGGTTGATTACGAGTTCCGTTATTGAAGGTTCTCTTTAGCCGATCCTCGCAATACGGCGCGTATCCAGGTGGTCCTTCCCTGATGAATGCACGTAAATAATTGACAAACTTCTCAGACGGTGCGAAACACCCCACGCATAATGAAAGCAAGATCCAACCGCGAGCGTGTGACGACTTGGAAGGATTGTTCGTCAGTTGTTTACATATTTGACAGTATATTTCGTCCCTTAGTTCCGCGCGTAGTATTCCGTGACCGATAATGAAATGAAGTTTCTCAAGATTCGAAGTGGGCCTCGCTTCCAACCAGGACTGATAGCTATCTGCCGTGTATTCATCCTCTTGCAACTTTCGCCTTACATCTTCGCCCAATTTATTTTTCCGTTTTAACGTCAATGAGACCAGCTTGTGTCTTATCGAGCGCGGTTTCTGCCTGAGAAAAGTCTCCGGATCTACGCCCATCATTTGAGCCTCTTGAAACTCTTTGCTTCGTATAAAATTACGACCAAGCGTCGCTGTCACCTTTGACATGACCGATGTCGTGTCCCTGTCCATAGTATGAAATCTGGGCTCAGGTAAGTCCCCGGTGAAACGGAGAATCGTAATCCATAATGCTTGTGCAGCCAGTTGATCTCCTTGTGTGTGCAAAGGCAACAGTGGATGTTTTAATGGCTTTCTCGAATACTGATGCGTGATGTTTCCTTGGAAATAGGTTGCCGCGAATTTTTGAAACTTGAACTCAGACAAATCTTCCTCATCCTCCGATGCTGTCTGAACAGGACTGATGATCTCCTGTTGATCCGCCTTTGGAGCCGGTAGATCGTTGAACACAGAAGTTTCCCTGGCAGGAGTGGGAGCTTCGCTACTTGAATCCGGCAGAAAATCAAACATCGCTTCGACCAATTTGCTATCGTCGACCGGTTCATCCTGTTTTTTTGCAGCATCATTTATGAGATTCTTTTTTATCTCCATTCTCCGCCGATCTTCTAGCTCCATCTCTATTTCTTTTCTTTCCAACTCTTGCATTCGTTCTCTGTAGTTTTGCTCGGCGATTTCTTTCGCTCGTTTATTTCCTTGATCCTTTAATTCTCGCTCTTCCTTCTTTCGCAGCCTCAACGCCTCGACATGCAACCGATATTCGTACTTAATCTTTTTGTAGCGTCTTTGTGCGATCAATCTTCGAACGTGAGCTTGTATCTTAACAATTGCCCACAATTTCTTTTGATACATTTTACGAACCAAATAGCCCCTAGCTCGAGCCTGAAGAGCGACTATGTGTCCTCTGAGATGCCTAAATCTGTGCGATAACACTCGTGATCTGATTAGCGCTTGAAGTCGCATATAACCGATACGCATACGTTTATATCTTTGCCGTTGTGCATAACCCCTCCAATACTTTTGAACAACCGTTGCGGCGGCTCTCATACGAAGAAACCTTCTTCTGTAAACCCAACCACGTATGTTACGTTGAAGTATTAGAATCTTTCGCGTCAGAACGCGATCACGCTCCTGCTCTAAGAACAAGTCATGAGCGTCTTTTAGAAACACCTTCGTGTGTCCGAGTTGATAATCGGATCTTCCTAACACTATGTGACAGATTTTCGACGTAACCGCGCGACAGTCGACTTTATGTGCTGGAGGTATACCGGGAATCAGAAATCGATATCTTTCAACAAATTCCGGAAAGGAGTGTCTAATCGGATAACCTGCTCTACGAATTCGAATCGTTTCCATCATTCCGGAGTATCTCAATTGTCGACAGCAGAGACCTCTGTCAAACATCATCGGTTTCTTGTATTCATTCGGTTTTATGCACCTGATGAAAAAAGGCTGACAACTGCACAACGTTTTCATTAGAGAATCTAATGACTTTTTGAACTGAGTGGACAATGTAGGTGCTCTTTTTCTGGTTTCCGATCCCATACCTATATCCTCGGCGAAACATGCTTGGAGAAACTTGTTCGATGATATATGAATTAGTTGCAACAAATCAGCACTGAACGTATCTCTGTTCTTCTCGAGAAAGCTCCTAGTATCATAGAACACGACACCGGCGAAGTGATTTAAGCCGAAAGAGGTATTGATATCTGATTTTGGTTTCAAATAATTTCGATGGGTTCCATGAGTTTTGTGTATCTTAGCTAACATGGTTTGGTCCGTGCCTTTGGGAAATTTTGATTCTTCATCGATTAAAGCCATGATATTCAGCTGTTTGATAGCTATTAAATCGAGTGCATCTTGATTGTCGACGAACTCGATGTGCTGCCAGTTAATACCTTCGTGATTGTATTCTTCTTGTTCGAGCTTAAATATATGTTGTACGAAAAATTGTTGTAGATTTTCGTTGGCATAATTGATGCAAAATTGTTCAAAACTATTGTGACTGAAATTTTCAAAGCCGAATATATCCAATACACCGATAGCGCTTCTTGATGTATTCTTGGGCCTATAAATTGCTTCGTTTATCTTTTTCACGATATGCACGAACAAACGTCCGTATATACCCTTAACGAACGCATCTCTGATATCCACCGATTGATCCCTGGACAACGTGGAAACCTGCGCACACATTACGATTTAGATTAGTTGAGAAATATTTTTCTCTGATTACCGCAGTAACATTTCGTGTTTATCGTCCTGTATATCGGAACGTAACGCGAATTATTCCTTACTTACAACAGTCTCACCGTGAGCGAATATCGTTTTGCGGGTAAGAGCATCAATCAAAGACTGAACAGGTACGCCCAGCAGATGCGCTACCCTCTGAACGTTTGTTTGTTCTGGAATTTCAGTAGCGTCCAAATTATCTGAAAGGGTAAATGTGCATTTGTACTAGTAGAAATAATGAGGCTTGAATAATGAGGCTTGAATAATGAGGCTTACCTACGACAGTAGCTCTATACTTGACATTTCCCATGTGTAATAGGGCAGCAAGCAACTTAAGTATCTCCCATATCTCTGCGTCGGAAAACAACAGAACCTTCATTGCTGATCTGATGTCGGCAAACTCTGCAGCGTCGTCTCGACCTTCGCACGTGATACTACCTCCCTGAGCAGCGGAAACGACCAACGACAAATTGGATAACGCAATTGTTTTGCTTACATGAATGTAATTAAAACGTTACCCCTGTTAAATATTTGTACGAAGAGGCATCTTCCAGTTCCAACTTTTGCTTCTCTTCTTTCGATAGACCAGCCAGCATACAATAAAATACATGATAATTTCGCTCGTCCAGACTTTGCGAGACTATACGCGATTTCTCCAGCAAGTATTGCTCGATTTTCGCTCCTTCTATTACCCCTTGTTCGTTGAAGTGAATGTCGATATACTTTCCAAAACGAGACGAATTGTCGTTTCGTACGGTTTTAGCATTACCGAATGCTATGAAGCGAAAGCATCGGGTTAATAACATTAATCTTTGTTTAACATTTGAGAATGGCTTACCTTCCAAGATGGGATTCGCTTCCAAAATTTGCTGTTCGATCCAAGAATGCTTGCCGCTAATCGCTGCCAAATATTGCAAAATTAGTTTCGTACTTTCCGTTTTGCCGGCTCCGCTTTCGCCGCTAAGACACAAATATTCGTGGATATGACAAACCATTTCTAGATAGAAAAGTATAGGAAAAGAAGAGAGCCGCCCGAAGTATTTAACGGTGAAGAAGAAAGCTGCGAGATCAATACCTGATCACTATGCACTGATCTTGACCATATCGATTCATATGCGCGTAACTATTGTCTCCGATGGCGAATATATGTGGTGGCAGCTCTCCGATTTTGCGATCCTTGTACAGTTTGATTTGTTCCGCGGTATAAATAGGCAATATCTGATACGGATTCACAGCCACTAGAATGGAACCCGTGTAGGTCTGTGCAAAAAGCGATAGCTTAAGATATTACGACCGTTTGGGTATAACAGCTATACAGCTCGAGGATGCTACCGCAGAATCAGGATCGCTTACGTATATGAGATTCTCGTTGTAGCGGATCAACAAATTCCTTAGAATGCCCGCTTCATGGAGGTCTCCTAAGCTGATCATATCTTCTACACCTTGCACAGAAGTGGCATGCATCGCCTTTATTCGCCTTTCCGGAGTTAGCCATTGTTCCTGGAAATTTTAGTGTTTATTACTAAAACGTAATCAGTATTTTCTTAATTATCGGTGTCGTATATTTGCATGTAAATTTGTCGATGAACAATAGAAACGAGCAAGAACTTTTTAATGAGTTGAGAAATTCGGTAGACGCGGAAAGTAGGTAACGATTACCTTGTTATCGTCGTCTTTCACTTGAATACGTCTACCTTCTGCAGAAATTACTCGTGCTCCGATCGCAACGTCAAATTCTCTCCCTGAGATTGGTTCGATCCATATGTAATCTCCCTGCAAAGTAATTTCTTTTATCAGTAATTTATGTCTTTTATTTTGGACTGGTCGCGAATATAATGACGCTTACGCGCGAACTTTCAAATAATATCCAATAAATGTCATCAACGAACGTGCCGTTTTCTTTTTCTCTCTCCTTTTCCTCTTATTCTTCGCTTTATGGTTAAATCTGTATTAGCATTCGTGATTGCGAAGGATCGAGTTTCGAGCGGCTGAAAACGTCGCGCGCAACATAGTCAAATGTTAACAGTACGAATAAAGACAATAAAAGCACCGAGTAAAAGTTCGTTTCTGACAGTCAAATTTTTCTAGTCGTAGTAGCGCAACCACTGCACGATAGAAGGAAAAACTAAAGCCGAGAGAGATCATGAATTTCTTTACGCGGTTGATATTTAAACAAGCTCGATCTAAACGTAATCGTGACATCCGAAACTTACTATGAGAATTCGTGGCTCGTACCACGAGCACTAGTTTTTACGATGGATCGATTAGATCGAGGCGCATCAAAGTCCTCGTTCGTTTTGAACCTGAACGTTTCTGCCGCTGATTCGTTCGATACCATAATGTAATTAGGCAAGCAAACGGGTAGGTATTATTCCGGCTTCCGGTGACACGGTTTTATGCACAGCACGACGTGATCGATCGCCCTTTGAGCTTTCATTTTATATAGTCCAGCGAACGACAAGTCTTGGCGAGCTGTACTACTATGTCGATTCCCGTCAAGTAAACTCATTAAACGTGTCGGCTGGCAAAGCTCTTTCCGATTCTTTCATTATATCGGCGTTTGTTCGAACGAAAACTATCGAACAAATATCGGTCGGACTCATTGGTTAACGTGCGCCAAATTTCCACGAGACTTATGCGCTTATACAGTTCCGCGTGTAACCGTTTGCATCGCTGGTCCGTGGCTGCCCTCCGCGCATCCATGCATCCGTTTTGGTGCGTTTATACGGGCATCGCGCAGCCATTCTCAAACCGTGACTTCTTCTCCCGATACCGAGAGAACGTTAATTTCGTGTTACATGCAACTGCGGTACAGCAGAGCCACGTTATCCCTCGAAAACGTGCGATTTACAGCTCGTTTCGTCAGAGCGATTCGTCCATGTTCGGACAACGCAATGGTCCGGTATAGAACGCAGTATAGTCGCAAAACTACGTGCGTACTGGGATGAAAGAAAATTTGAGAACCTCTAAACTAGCCCATGCTCTACAGATACATACATCTATATGAACGCACAGACTGTGCCTGATATTCGTATACGTTCCGATTGTCGGAAGAGCTTGTCCATTCGTTACCTCGAAACGAACCTTCGTTCAATTTAACTCCTCTTTTGCCAGCCGATTTTACTTTCGGCTGTCTATGACTACAAAAAACTTTGAATCGCGTTTCTTCTGATATCCTGCAAACAGCTTGTAATCGCGTAACTCTTGTAATCGTACGGCGGAAAATTTTCGAACATCGTTTTCTTTCGCGATTACGGTACCCCGACACCCTGAAGTCGCGAAACGTTGATTCTCGATCGGAGAAGGGTCGATCGACAAAGTCGAGTTACAGCGGATGGTAAGATATATAGATGACCACGTATGAGTGACGGGCGCGTGCGTGCTCGGGCACAGGGAAGGAATAGAATACGATCGAGGGTACAAACGCGTGTCCGGTAAAACGATTCGCGTCCCGTTATACGACGGCTGGTTTGCTCGCGCGAAATGCTAAGCCGCTGTTCAGGGCATATACGAAGTGACGAAGGACCGTTAACTATGCCTAATTAACCGACCATTCGTCTCGTTTCGTGTTACGGCAACGTCTCGCGATGTGGCGCTGTCCTGCACCAACTACGCCCACCGATTGGTGGTGCATCGAATCTTTTTTCGGGAACGTCAGATGGCAAGACGATTTGCGAACAAGAAATACGCATCACGATGAACGTATGAAGCAGCATCCCGATTTTCACTCAAGGTATACACATTCTACTCGTATCGGATGGACCTACGAGGGAAAACAACGACGATACGGAAGGATTGAAACAGCGATCTTTCTTCGATCGACTTTTCTCATCGAAATATCGTGTTTAAACGAATGTCAACGGACAATATGGCGTATCGAAGGTAAACTGGTCGATTTTGTATTCACGATAGAAAAAGGTATTGTTGTACCGAGAGGTGTACAATTTCGTAATTATCCGGGAATTGTTCGGCTTTTTCAGATGATCACAGTCGGAACATCGACAATTATTCACGTAAGCTACGAGTGTTGGTTGAATATCGTTAAATGAATACGTCAACTCTTAATTTCGTTCGCACGACTAACTGTCGATTTATAGGGGAATAAGGATAATCAACGATAAGCGGAAGGTTGAAACGTTGCTTCGATGCAAAGAGAATCGCCGTGTATTCTTCGAGCATGACTTTTCATGCGAAGAAAGAATCTGGAGACGGTCGATCTCCGTCATTTTCACTTGTCACAGATTCCTACTGACCGTCTTCGAAGAACGCGACGAAGAAAGCGGTAATATAATGGTGTGAACGCCGCGTATAGATCATCGTTCAATTTTCTTCTTCCCCGGTCTTGCGTATTCGATACATTGATTTTTACTAATCGACCAGAACAGAGAAGAAAATGCGTGAAATGACAAGCTGTTGCGATAATACTTACCCGCGTGACGATGACCATCTCTCAAGTCGTGGTTGTCGGCACTCCGCCTGAAAGAAAACAAAACTTTCTTCTTTCTCTCGTTCTCTTTTTATTTCTGTTTTTGTGCACTCGTGTTGCAGAACGAAAAGGGAGACAACTCGAGTACGATATCGGCTAGACGTCGTACAACGTATTATCGATAACATTTTAGATAATACGAGAAACGCACGAATGTCTGCAGAGAAATGGGAATTCCAACGACGGGATGGCTGCACCCGAGTCGCCGTATAGCAGCTGAGAGTCTATGTCGGTAAGATTCGTACCCTCTTACGTGAATCTATTCGGAGAAAAATCGTTCCAACGTGCGATGATGATGTCCGGCTGATCACCGTTACAGTGGAAGCAGCACAAGCATAAACCTGTTCGCAAAAGTGGGTTAGGCAGTTTCTGCTGCTACCACTGAGCCGTACACCTTTCGAGAACATCCATCGAGGATTCTCGCCAAGAGATTGATCTTTCTTCTCTTATCGAACAACTCTGGCGATTTATTTTCCCCGTAACGATACGATATACCAAAGGAAACCAATCGGACCGAATCAAATTGCATTGTACATAGAGAATGATATCGAATAAAATCGAGCCGAAGAAAGTTGAACCTTCGAGTTTATAAACTCGACGAAAAGTATCGATTGAATACAACAAAATTGCAGTTCACGCGTCGCTAGTATCGACTTGGTTCGACAAAAGGCGTGGATGAATTTGTTTCGATTATACTCGCACGAATAACTCCTGGGTCGACGAACCGTTCGGCGTTTCTTACTTTTTCTTCTTCTTTTCTTTCATTTCCGTCTTTGTTCGTGGTAAATCAATTCTGCGTATAAAAAATCGAAGAAAATACATATATCTCAAAGAACGCGAATATAAATAAAGGAAAAGGTGCGAGAAGTTGGTCCGACGTTCTCCCTTGAACTTGAAGGATGGAACGCGCGAAAAGGAGTCGCAGTCGTTGACTTTGAAAATATCCGGAGAACGGCCAGCGGCGTATGCACTGCCTACGGGTACGGGAGACTTTAATGGGCGATCGAACGACACGCGTACGATTGTGCGTCGCGCGTTCCGAACCATCACGATTTTATTCGAAGCTAGTGAAAACAAAAAATTCCCGATTCCAATACGTTGCAGCAGAGGTGAATCAAACGATTCCACGAACCTTCTTACACAACTCGGATTCGCACTTCCTAATAGTGCAACAACACTGAAATCCTACCTCCCGTTTACCCGCCACGCTCGTTTGAGCTTTGGCTCCTTACGTCACAATCGCTTTCCACGTGTGCATCTTCGCGCTATCCTATTTCTTTTCGTGTTTTTTAAGTCTTCTTTTTCTTTTCCTTTCCTAGTATTATCTGATCTGGGAAACAAGCGTTCAATAAATCTCGAAAATAAGCTATTTTCTAACATCGTTTCCCATGTTTCCTTGCACTGATTACACTAACCGAATCCCGAGGAAAGACACGCGAATTTAATATTTCATCGATACCGGGGAAAACGATTCAAATCGACAATGGAACGTATCGAACGTATAATAGGATACATACGCGATCTTTTAGTAAACATTTTAAGATCCAACGCGTACGAGATATTATTACTTTTATCCGAATCTGTCTTATCTCGTTTACTTATTATCGCGCTTTAAAGTTCACGATACATGTACGCGTAGCAGTTCCAATTACGCGAATCATGGATATTTGATTCTTCTTTTAATCCTTCTAACAGTCTTATCTATTTCGTATATCGTTTATGGGCAAATAATTTATATGCACGTGGACTATTGAAGAGTAAATGGTGATAGAAATTTGTTAGATATTCCAAGATTCGACGTATATCAATGTCTGTTTCAAATGTTGTAGTAATACGGTAATAAAATGACGTATAACGTGTATTGTTTCCGTTTTATCTAAAGACAAAAAAAAAGGACGCGATTCCTTAGCGATGTCAGAATTTCGTTTCCAACAAGATATCGTCTTTCAGCGAACAATTGTGTCGTTCTGAATCGTATATTATTTACTTGCAATAAACGGAGGTCGATCTCGTGTAAACGTTCTCGAGGGAACGAATAAATTCAAACATACCTTATGCGAGTAACGAGAAACACGACGAAAGTGGCTACACGATGTCGGCACACTCCATTAAGAAGCACTGCACTGCACTTTGAACGCGATGTAAAGCGCGCTTTTCATGTCCGACGTGACTAGAGAAGCTCGTCGAAGCTTAGCGCTTAGAAAAGACGACGAACATGAAAAAAGAAAAGCTTACGGATTGCACTATAAAATGGGACACGAAAAGTAACAATAGTTGTTTCAGAGAATAGGCCACGACGGTGACCGGCACGTTAACTCGTCCACTCGGGGAGCTTCGGTTCGAATCGGGTGTGCCAGGTGGAAGCAAGCAACTGAAAGAGGTGGAAAAACTACCTTCCGCTAAACCACGATCGGCTTCGGCTTCGACTTCGGCTATGAGACACCCCACCAATCGCCATACGTTACTAGTCACTCTACTCTACCATCGAATCGGTTTTTCGACAATTCTTTAACATTTAATTTAACTTCAAAGATCTTCGTATGTTCTTCGATTCTTCCTTTATTTTGTCTCGATCGTGACGTCATTCGCTATAATGTGAACCCATGCATGTATACATATACATACTTGCCAACCTGTTGCGTTATGATTCGATGCCGACTATGATTTTCTTTACTCTTCATCGAATCATCTTCTTACCGATCGAGAAGCGTGTTCCCTCTATATAACCTCAGCAGTGGATGGCGCCAAAATCGATTCGAGATGGCAAAAATTATCAAATACGCATTTCCTTTTTTGTTTTATCTATCTACTTATTCATTCGAATAATACGTTATGCACACGATACATGGACAAACGAATCGTTTACATTGAAAATATATTTTCATTTCATACGAATTTTACATGAATGTTATACATACATATATTGCAATATCTATAATTTTTAACATATACGTTAATGTGTAAAGTACTGAAAACTTCTGCAATAATAATAACATCGACGATACTATGCACGTTGCAAATTAACAGTTTCATAAAAGTGTCTCTATCTGGAAAATACGACCTTTCTCTCGCAACAAGAATGATGCGTTTATATGTACCAATGATTTATGTTTCACGAGTATGTCAAACAATTCTGTACTAAAATTATAATAAAATGTTAAGTAGTTACTGATGATGCATATCTTAACAGCAATGGCAAATTTATTGCTAAGCACACGATAAAAACAATTTTGATTTTGATTACGCATAAATTAGTTAATCGATCGATTCCTTTTGATATACGATGGAACACACCGAATACTGTAAATTATATTCTAAACTCAAAAACTTCCTATCATTCGATGTAACGAAGCAATGATAGATTCTACAACTACATTTGGAGTATTGCTTCTTAATAGATATATACATGTATGTTTAAAATGATCAACACATGGCTCGTGTATTGCATAATAATTGCTGATCGTGTAGTAGGAAAGTATATTTTTTCGCATAGTACACGAAAATTAATTCAAGAACAGTTAGATTTCGTGAGTTAACAGTAGTTAACATTGTAGAAAATATTAATGTCACTATGACTTTATTTATGACTGTATAAATGCTTTAAAAAATATACAGCGTAACTGTATTAAAAGAAAAGACGAATCCAATATATATATGCTTAGATTGCATTCATATATAGATTCAACGTGCTCCGATAATAAATGTAATTTCTCTCTTCACAACTGCATTTGTCATTGTAGGGAA